GAAACACCTGACGATCAACAGCCCGAGAAACACCAGCAACATCCCAACGAACGCAAACGCCGTCTTCTGCTCCAGACTCAGAGAATAGGCCATGATGTCACTCCCACTCATGGCAGTCAGGCTGTGGTTATAGTGAACGCTACACATGTTCCCAGATGAGCCCCGTCATCCTGCATGCGTCGGTAGGTTGGCGATCAGCGAGGATAGATGGACGCCTGTGAAGGTAGGAGATGCTCTATGGAATCAATCAGACAACAAGCACTTCATTAAATTACTGCAGAATTAGCATGCACGAGAATAACGGGACAAACATTTTGAATAGATGTGCACTCTGTGGAGCATGCAAACTTACCTGGAGTCTTTAATCGGTGATGTGCATTAAAATATGGCCAGTGTTATGCAACAGACAGGATAGGTGTGAACGCAGGACACAGCGAATGAATGCACGGGGAATCGAATCACAAAGGGAGTCTTCTTCTCCATTGAATTGCATTCTTTTGATGTTTTGTTTGAATTTCTAAAGGTAAAATAACGAGGATGATTACTGAAAAGTTCTAATAATAGAGAGCCATCATGGCCAGTCATTAATGCAAATGCACTCGCTTATATCTTCAAGTAAACAGGTGGGATGAAAGATGAAGCCTTGCGGTTTGTGCATGCAGCCCTTGACTCTTTATTAGTAACCAACAGCATGCGCCCGTAGGTGATAAGATTTCTCAGCAGCACAGAGTTGCAGTAAAGCGAAGACAAATGCACTCCCTGCAGCAAACATTTGTACTTGAGGAGTCTCAGGAGCGATCACTTTTGCAGAGTCAGAGATCACACAGCACATAGGCGACATCTTTAATCGGAGCGTGCAGCGAACACACCAGGACCTGTTGCTTTCTTTCCAGCTGCGACTCGAGCGGTGATGCATGCTGCATGCAGCGGGGGGCTGTTTGAGAGAGGCGGGTGGGTGTGGATGAGCAGCAGGTGGCTGAAGAACGACATGCATCTGAGCTGAAATCAAAATGCATCTCACCTTCATTTTGGCCTCATTCTGTCAGAGCTGTTGTAGGCGGTCAGTCTGCTATTCCTGCGCTTGCTGTCGTACTCCTCATCACTGCAGAAGAGCTGGTCGAGCCCTGCGCACAGCCAGCAGGAGCTCCACAAGCTCGGCTTGACTGCTGCTGATAAAAGAGGCTGATGGGGGAGTGAGAGACACCTGCGACTGAATGCTTTCACAGCCCTGCTGCGCTTTCTGAGCTGCTCTTTGTGTCCCTGCAAACACACACACACACTCTCTCTCTCTGCTCCTCAGCTTGGCAACCACTTGTTAGTGTCAGCTGGTTTGACTCTAATGTTGTTCTCACGCATGTACTCTTGCGCTCACCTGTTCTTGTTTATTTGGCTTCCCCTGAAATGTGTCGTTCCCAGCAGGCTGCTCTGCCTCGAGACGTTGCTGTGGACTAGGTGGGCTGCCTGGTGCATCACTTTAATGGTTTCATCAGCATGTAACTCAATTAGACATTGTGCTTAAAGCATATGCATTATGCTTTATGCATGATGCTCCAGCATAACTGATGCGGCTCAGCATGCTTTTAAAGGCACAGCGACGCCTTTAACCCAGCGTGCCACCAATTCAATATCAAAATACAACTTCTTTATGTTATGATGAGCATATGAGTGCAGCGCAAGGGGGGTTGCTAGGGAGTAGTGGGTGGCGATTCTAAAAGAATCTTTGATGCAAAGGTGATATAATACAAGGTATAGTGTTATAAATGTCCATACATTAAAAAAAAAAATCTAAATATAAAATGTTTTACGATTGCCAAAAAATGGCCTCTAACCTCATCACACACAGAGAACTAAATAAAAAACATATTACGACATGAAATGTTTTTTTATTGTTTCGGAATTGCTGGAGGTACAATATCGTCCAGAGAAGTATACTTACAACATTTCAGCATAAATGCATTTAACTCAGTGAAAATTACATGTCATAAAACAATAATTTTTAATGCAATGCCTAAATGTCAGCGGACACGTACAGCTACAGACCACTAAATAACAAAAATGTTAGAAATATTACACAGTGAAATATTTTTCATTATTTTGGAGTCGCTGGAGATGCAACATTGTCCAGATAAGTATACAGTGGGGCAAAAAAGTATTTAGTCAGCCACCAATTGTGCAATTGTGCAAGTTTAAAAAGATGAGAGAGGCCTGTAATTTTCATCATAGGTATACCTCAACTATGAGAGACAAAATGAGGAAATGAGGAAAGAAAATCACATTGTAGGATTTTTAAAGAATTAATTGGTAAATTCCTCGGTAAAATAAGTATTTGGTCACCTACAAACAAGCAAGATTTCTGGCTCTCACAGACCTGTAACTTCTTCTTTAAGAGGCTCCTCTGTCCTCCACTCGTTACCTGTATTAATGGCATCTGTTTGAACTCGTTATCAGTATAAAAGACACCGGTCCACAACCTCAAACAGTCACACTCCAAACTCCACCATGGCCAAGACCAAAATTGTAGACCTCCACCAGGCTGGGAAGACTGAATCTGCAATACGTAAGCAGCTTGGTGTGAAGAAATCAACTGTGGGAGCAATTATTAGAAAATGGAAGACATACAAGACCACTGATAATCTCCCTCGATCTGGGGCTCCACGCAAGATCTCACCCCGTGGGGTCAAAATGATCACAAGAACTGTGAGCAAAAATCCCACAACCACACGGGGGGACCTAGTGAATGACCTGCAGAGAGCTGGGACCAAAGTAACAAAGGCTACCATCAGTAACACACTGCACCGCCAGGGACTCAAATCCTGCAGTGCCAGACGTGTCCCCCTGCTTAAGCCAGTACATGTCCAGGCCCGTCTGAAGTTTGCTAGAGAGCATTTGGATGATCCAGAAGAGGATTGGGAGAATGTCATATGGTCAGATGAAACCAAAATAGAACTTTTTGGTAAAAACTCAACTTGAGGAGAAAGAATGCTGAGTTGCATCCAAAGAACACCATACCTACTGTGAAGCATGGGGGTGGAAACATCATGCTTTGGGGCTGTTTTTCTGCAAAGGGACCAGAACGACTGATCCGTGTAAACGAAAGAATGAATGGGGCCATGTATCATGAGATTTTGAGTGAAAACCTCCTTCCATCAGCAAGGGCACTGAAGATGAAACGTGGCTGGGTCTTTCAGCATGACAATGATCCAAAACACACCGCCCGGGCAACGAAGGAGGGGCTTCATAAGAAGCATTTCAAGGTCCTGGAGTGGCCTAGCCAGCCTCCAGATCTCAACCCCATAGAAAATCTTTGGAGGGAGTTGAAAATCCGTGTTGCCCAGCGACAGCCCCAAAACATTACTGCTCTAGAGGAGATCTGCATGGAGGAATGGGCCAAAATACCAGCAACAGTGTGTGAAAACCTTGTGAAGACTTACAGAAAACATTTGACCTCTGTCATTGCCAACAAAGGGTATATAACAAAGTATTGAGATGAAATTTTGTTATTGACCAAATACTTATTTTCCACCATAATTTGCAAATAAATTCTTTAAAAATCCTACAATGTGATTTTCTGGATATTTTTTTTCTCATTTTGTCTCTCATAGTTGAGGTATACCTATGATGAAAATTACAGGCCTCTCTCATCTTTTTAAGTGGGAGAACTTGCACAATTGGTGGCTGACTAAATACTTTTTTGCCCCACTGTATATATATTTCAGCAAAATAATGCGCTTAGGACTGAAAATCGCTATCAAATCAATACTTTTCATTAAATGCACAAATGTCAGCGGAAACATAGTTACACAAAATAACAAAAATGTAAGAAATATTACACGGTGAAATATTTCCTATTGTTTTGTAGTCGCTGGAGATACAATAGTGTCCAGATAAGCAGGCTATAATAACAATCCAGAAAAAAATGCGCTTAACCAAAGACTAAAGGGACTTTGGCTTAACTACACATTAAACATTTTATTTAATTTGTATATAAATATATAAAAAAAATTATATTTAAAAAAAAAAATTTTTTTTTATTATGCAATAGAAGAACAGCAAATACAATTACAAAGACAAGAACAAAAGACAATAAGGGTTACAAACAATACTCCAGACCCCAAAAATTGGTTACTCTTTGAATTTAGACCCCTCTCACTGTAAACTGATTATTAATCTATTGCTACAGCTTGCTAAATTTTACATTCATAAGTGTACATTTTCAAAGAAAACGCCCTACTTTTTTATTTTCAGGAAAGATTTTGATGTGTATGTAAACTCTTTAAGAAACACATTACACACGGTTTGTTATGAAAAACAATCCAGTGACGCGCTGTAGTCTCGCGTGTTCTCGCGAGAGCTGCGTGAGAGGAGCAGCAGTGATGGCGGACGCGGAGCAGACGCTGGACCTCAGCGACACCAAACACGAAGAATCAGGCGATTCTGCCGCTGATGAAGCAGAAGCGGAGCCCCAGCAGACGCAGGAGGACACCAACGGCGCTAAAACGTAATTGAAAGCCCTTTAAAACGCAAATCTTGCATGTGTCGCGTATGGTTAGCGAGGCCTGTGCGTGTTGACAGAGCAAAAGAAACGCGCTTATTTGTCTTTCTCTTCAGTTTGTGTTCCTAATGCGTGTAACGTTATCTGAAGACATCTCCTCTAGTTCTCCGTTCCTCTCAGCGCGTATCTTTCTGTCGTTCTTTAGGTAACCCATAGCAACCGCGCCATCTTCTGTCATTGATCAACAGACCCCGCCCACTTCTGCCGCGTTTAGTGCTCGTTAAAGATTATTAAACGAGTGGGCGGGGCTAGTTTGGTTTGAGTTTTTTGATTGGTTGAGATTTCTCTGCTGAATCATGGGAAATGTAGTCTCTCTACAGGAATTCCGCTGTTAAACATTTAAAAAGTGAATGGCTTTCATCAATCTGACATCTTTAGAAAAGCGCTGCTTGTAAAGAAAAAGTTTATATTTGTAGAGTTTAACATTTTTTATTTAAAAAAAGTACTTGTGGTTCATAAAAATATTCTAATGAAGAAAGTTGTTTATACTTGTGGTGTTCTGTTTTTAAAAATGTATAAAAAAAATTATACTTATAAAAAAAAAAGTTTATACTTGTATATTTGCATCATATTTGTCAACACTCAACTGTATGAAATATAAGAGCACGTGCAGGTCTGGGACCAGTTAATTAATGAAGATGACGTGTTAAACTGACAGCCCTTATATACTGTATATACACTAGTGTTCAAAAGTTTGGGATCAGAATGATTTTTAATGTTTTTACAGGAGGTTCTTCTGCTCGTCAAGGCTGCATTTATTTGATCAAAAATACAGAAAAAACAGTAATATTGTGAAATATTATTATGATGCAAAATAACGTTTTTCTGTGTGAGTATGTGTTAAACTGTAATGTATTTCTGTGATGCGCAGCTGTATTTTCAGCATCATTACTCCAGTCTTCAGTGTCACATGATCTTCAGAAATCAGTATAATATGCTGATTTATCATCAGTTGTGCTGCTTCATATTTTTTTGGAAACTGTGATACTTTTTTCTGGATTCTTTGATGAATAAAAAGTTAAAAAGAAGAGCGTTTATTTAAAATATTTTCTAAATAAATAAATGCAGCTTTGATGAGCAGAAGAGACTTCTTTAAAACACATTACAGTCTTACTGATCCCACACTTTTGAGCGGAACTTTTCTCTTTTTTTTTCAATTGTTAAATTGTTGGCAGAACCAATATATTTTAGTCGTTTTGTTTTGTTGGATGTGTGGAATGGAGAACAAGTATTACATGTCAAATAATTTCTGCCAAAGTAAAAAAAAAGTACAAATCAGTTGTTTAGAATTGGAGAACGAACTCAGACATATTTCACCTTTAAATGTGCTGCTCTGATGCATTTTAGAGCGTTGTTGCTAAAGTAGTTTTTTTTAGGGATGCACCGATATGAACATTTTGGCCGATACCGATAACCGATAATTCTTTATTTTTGAAAGCCGATAACCGATATGTTGGCCGATAAATCTATATCCAAATTGTTATATACTTTTTGAGAGCCTGATTACAAAAAAGGTCTCATCATTAAAAGCCACATCCCAAACACTTCAACATAAGCAGCCTAGTTTGAACGGTGGTACGTTTTAAAAATATTTTTACTCTCCCATTACCAAATTTAGTCTATGTAATTTGACCGTGTTTTTTCTCTCTCGTGTGTGTGTGTGTGTGTTTGCAGCAACGCCGAGGACAAAGAGCCCAAAGAGAAGAGCCGAAAGTCGCACCGCTACCATCCCTACAAAGAGCGCCGCAGCGGCTCGGTGGACCTGAAGGCCTCCCACAGGAACCGCGTGTTCATTAGCAATATCCCTTATGATATGAAGTGGCAGGCAATTAAAGATCTAATGCGTGAGAAAGGTAACCCACGCTCCGTCCCGTCCCTCTCTCAGCTTTAGCTCGTATCCGTCTCGATCTAGACGAGCGTGAAGCGTGAATGTCAGACAGGGGAGTTGAATCTGTTCGCACCGCTACCATCCCTACAAAGAGCGCCGCAGCGGCTCGGTGGACCTGAAGGCCTCCCACAGGAACCGCGTGTTCATTAGCAATATCCCTTATGATATGAAGTGGCAGGCAATTAAAGATCTAATGCGTGAGAAAGGTAACCCACGCTCCGTCCCGTCCCTCTCTCAGCTTTAGCTCGTATCCGTCTCGATCTAGACGAGCGTGAAGCGTGAATGTCAGACAGGGGAGTTGAATCTGTTCTGGTGTGAATCTATACTGTGTGTGTGTATATATATATATATATATATGGTGGTATAAGCTGTAGTCATCATGATGAGTCATTACTGTATTGTTGAAGGATTGTATAGGTGGGTGGCCTAGTGATTTTTCTACCTGTGTGTGTACAGTATCTGTAGCTTAGAGGAATGAATGTAGTGCTAGGTGTCAGTCGAGGTGCTTTTCGTGGAGCGGGTCTCAGGTGTGTGTGTGTGTGTTTCACTGGGCTTTTCTAGCGTTGCACCCAAGGAGACAGACCCCTGGTGATTTAAATGCCTTGTTCTCTGTGGTATTTTCCCTTTGTATGTCTCATGTAGTTGGTGAGGTTACATACGTGGAACTCTTTAAGGATGGAGAAGGAAAGTCAAGGGTAAGTGTTGGTGACTCTGTGAGGTTTGCAAGGCCTCCGCAGCATCTCTCTCATGCGCTCAGGGCCGGTAGAGCTGATATACTGTCGTAGCTTTGACCTCGGGACGGTGTGTTGATGTGGAGCGCTACAGAAAAAGCCTATTAAGATGATTAGATGATTATTTTTTAAATGGGTGGTGACCCGTTTGGCTGGGGTCCATCTGTCTCTCTCACATCTGATGATTGCTTAGGTGCTTAGGTGTTGGATTTAACAGACCTACGAGAGTCATATCTCTGTCAGGTGTCTTTCCTTAAACCCCTTCATCTGTTCCCTTCTCTCTCTCTCTCTCTGTCCCGTAACAACATGTTCCAGTTTCATTTGCCCCCGAGTTCATTTGCTCTCATCACTGAAATGCTCCAAACAGCTCGTTAAAGTAGAGTCGTGAGCATGTGCTGTAATTGATCTCTCTGAGGCACTAATGATCAATCAGTCAGCTGTTTCTCTTTGAGCTGATGTGTTGCTGATGATGTTCTCTCTTGTCGTTCTCTCTCTCTCCTCCTCCTCCTCGTTCTTCGTGGACTCGCTTCTGAAGGGCTGCGGGTAAGAAACGTTTATATAGAAAAAAGCACGTTTGAATTAATGCATTCATTTGCCAGACACTTGCATCGACGATTCAAGTCGAAATTATTTGTTTTCCCAAACATTTAAAAAAGCAATCGGCTGCAAAATAAAGGGGCTTAATTGCTTTATAAGCAGTCTTATTAATTATTATTATAAAAATTTTTTTTCAAGCATTCAACTTAAAAGTATTATTCATTTAGTGCTCTTTCAGTGCTTGGGAAAACATATGATGGTCATAAAATTATATTTAAATAAAGTAAATATGAATAATTTAATGCATTGGATTGTTGATTGTCACAAATGTATTCAAGTAGAAATTTGTGTTATTTATATTTTCCCAAACATTTAAAAAGGTAATCAAATGTGAAATAAATGTACATTGTTTTATTACTAGCAAGAAATAATTTAATATAAATATAATAATTATTATAATTTTTTTCAGAGCATTTAAAAACGTAAGCAGCTATTTTAAATGTTTATTTAAATAAATATGAATAAGTTAAAACAATGCAACGTTGCCCGCAAGTATTTCTTCAAGTATATTGATATTTTTCCAAGCATTGAAAAAAAGCAATTAGCAATTTTAAATATTTATTTATATTAAATATATTTTATTTAAAATAAATATGAATAAATGTTGCTGCAAGTAATGGGTATTGTTATTTCTATTTTTCCAAACATTTAAAAAGTAATTATCTGTGAAATAAAGGTAGTGGAATTGTTTTATAAGCAGTAGGAAATATTTTTCTACCTGTGTGTGTACAGTATCTGTAGCTTAGAGGAATGAATGTAGTGCTAGGTGTCAGTCGAGGTGCTTTTCGAGGAGCGGGTCTCAGGTGTGTGTGTGTGTGTGTGTGTGTGTTTCACTGGGCTTTTCTAGGAGTCATTACTGTATTGTTGAAGGATTGTATAGGTGGGTGGCCTAGTGATTTTTCTACCTGTGTGTGTACAGTATCTGTAGCTTAGAGGAATGAATGTAGTGCTAGGTGTCAGTCGAGGTGCTTTTCGAGGAGCGGGTCTCAGGTGTGTGTGTGTGTGTGTGTGTGTGTTTCACTGGGCTTTTCTAGCGTTGCACCCAAGGAGACAGACCCCTGGTGATTTAAATGCCTTGTTCTCTGTGGTATTTTCCCTTTGTATGTCTCATGTAGTTGGTGAGGTTACATACGTGGAACTCTTTAAGGATGGAGAAGGAAAGTCAAGGGTAAGTGTTGGTGACTCTGTGAGGTTTGCAAGGCCTCCGCAGCATCTCTCTCATGCGCTCAGGGCCGGTAGAGCTGATATACTGTCGTAGCTTTGACCTCGGGACGGTGTGTTGATGTGGAGCGCTACAGAAAAAGCCTATTAAGATGATTATTCGGATGTCTTTTAAATGGGTGGTGACCCGTTTGGCTGGGGTCCATCTGTCTCTCTCACATCTGATGATTGCTTAGGTGTTTTTGATTTGGATTTAACCGACCTACGAGAGTCATGTCTACCCTTCATCCATCCATCTATCTGTCTGTTCCCTTCTCTCTCTCTCTCTCTCCGTCCCGTAACAACAAGATCCAGAGTTCATTTGCTTTCCTTCTCACTGTAGCCAAATGCAAAGCTCCAAAGAGCTCGTCAAAGTCTTAGAGTCATGTGCTGTAATCGATCTCTCTGAGGCACTAATGATCAATCAATCAGCTGTTTCTCTTTGTGCTGAAGTGATTCTGATGAGGCTCTTTCTTGTCGTTCTCTCGTCTCGTCCTCGTTCTTCTGGGATGCGCTCCTGCAGGGCTGCGGGTAAGAACGAGATGCTTAAACCCGATTCATTTATACAGCAAAAACTGTGTTTTCACTGTCACTTGTATCAAGGATTCAAGTAAAAACATTTAAGAAGGTCATCAGTTGTGAAATAAAGATACTTAAATAATTTTATAAGCAATTATTATTCAGAGTATTCCAAGCATTGACGAAAGTAAGGAAGGAATTACTTTTCCAATGCTTGGAAAAATATAAACAAAAGTCATAAAAAATGTATTCATAATAATTCAAGTAATATTTAAATAAAATAAATATGAATGAAATGAATGCAATGCAAGTATTTCCTCATGGGTCTTTCAGAAATGTCAAGTGTTCAAGTAGAAATGTTAATTATTTATATATTTCCCAAACATTAAAAAATATACAGTAAGAAATTATTATTATTTATATTTTCCAAGCATTGAAAAAAAACTATTTTAAATATTCATTTATACAAATATACAAGTAAATATGAATAAATTAAAACAATGCAATGTTGCCTTCAAGTATTCAAGTACAAATAATAATAATTATTCCTCATGGGTCTTTCAGAAATGTCAAGTGTTCAAGTAGAAATGTTAATTATTTATATATTTCCCAAACATTAAAAAATATACAGTAAGAAATTATTATTATTATTTATATTTTCCAAGCATTGAAAAAAAACTATTTTAAATATTCATTTATACAAATATACAAGTAAATATGAATAAATTAAAACAATGCAATGTTGCCTTCAAGTATTCAAGTACAAATAATAATAATTATTATTATTAATATTTTTCATTCGAAAGGTAATCAACTGTGAAATAAAATGTCTTAATTTTTTATAAGCAGTAATACATTATTTTTGTTTATTTATATTTTTCCAAGCAATGGGAAAAAATTAATAAACTATTTTAAATATTTATTTAAATAAAGTATATATTAATAAATTAAAACAGTTGTCTTCAGGTGTCTTGACAGCAGTGTCAAGTATAAGTACAGATGATAATAATAATAATATTTATTATTATTACTTTTTCCCTAACGTTTAAAAAAAAGTTATACATTTAAAAAAAAAAGGCACTTAAATGTTTTATAAGCAGCAAGAAATCATTATTTATATTTTTTCCGAGAATCGAAAAAAGTAAAATATTAATTGAAATAAAGCAATATTTAAAACCTAAGTAAATATAAATAAATGAAAACAATATTTCTTCAGTTATGTGGTGGCAGTAACAAGTATTTATGTAGAAACTATTATTGTTTATATTTTTCCAAGTACTGAAATGTAAAATAGAGCTACTTAAGTTGCTTTCTATTAAAAGCAGCACAGATTTACTGTTGACTGGTGTGTGTTGTTTCAGCGTGGTTGAGTTCAGAGATGAAGAGTTCGTGAAGAAAGCCATCGAGGTCATGAGCAAACACGATCTGAACGGACGGCCGCTGAACATTAAGGAGGTGAACACAGTTCTGTTGGGATACCGATACGATACGATACTTCTAAACTGATCTTTAAATTACTAAGAGTAAAATGGGTAATGATACCCACTTATATTTCTTTTTGAAATGCATTTTAATTAGGCCTGGGCGATAAAACGGTATCGATATTTATCGACGGTACACCTTCTTCGATAACGATAGAAAAAATGTTCGATATCGACGCAGACAGCACACACAAACAGGAACACATGCTGAGTGCTGTGTCTGCTTGTGATGAGGAGATTGTGAATAAAGTATGAATATTAGGCGAGTTTAAAATAAACATTTGAATGTTAGGAGTGCGTCAGGGAGCGTCATGCGGTGGTGGCATAAATACATGATGCTGTTTTGTTCATAATTGTTCATGCAATTTACGAAATTATATATGAGTTAATTTAGACGTAGTGCACGTTTTTATAGAGTTACTTGCTAAATGCGCTGCATTATTTTGCTCATTGCGCCCTCCTGTGGCCTCGGGAGACAATTAGACCTATACTATTTAATCTGCATATAAAACATTAGATATTACATTTTTATTGTGTTTGATTGTTAAAACAAAAAATATTAGTTGTTTGTCTCAATAAATTATGTTAATTATAAATACAGTGGTTAAATTAAAAAAAAATTCTATTGCTTTTTGTTTTAAAAAAGGTTATAAAAAATGTCAATAATTATCGATACCGAACGATATGAAACATTATATCGTTGATTTATATCGAAGTTTTTTAGCTATATCGCCCAGCCCTAATTTTAATGTAAAAAAATCTTGTGTGATATAACTTGTGTGTGTTTGACTGTTTGCTGGTTTTTATTGTATTTGTTATACTTTGATGCTGACATGGCATTAAATAAATATATACTATACTTGAAATGCATTTTAACATTCAATACGCCTTAATTGCAAATAATTAGGTTATATTTTTGTTTACACGTGGTTAATATGTGTTTACTGTGGTGGTAACCATGGAAATCTACAAATACTAGTTAACCTACGGTCACTTTAGTAAAGTCATGGTTCATGTTTTCTTAAGGGACTGCCAGTGACAGGCTGTTGCACGCATAAAATACAACCTTTTTATTCTGACAGTGTATGGTTTATATTAACATTACAGAACAGAGCATGATCAGTATTTGATGCTGACATGGCATTAAATAAATATATACTATACTTGAAATGCATTTTAACATTCAATACGCCTTAATTGCAAATAATTAGGTTATATTTTTGTTTACACGTGGTTAATATGTGTTTACTGTGGTGGTAACCATGGAAATCTACAAATACTAGAGTTAACCTACGGTCACTTTAGTAAAGTCATGGTTCATGTTTTCTTAAGGGACTGCCAGTGACAGGCTGTTGCACGCATAAAATACAACCTTTTTATTCTGACAGTGTATGGTTTATATTAACATTACAGAACAGAGCATGATCAGTATGAACTTCTAACGTTCAGTATTTAAGTAATTGTAATTGCACAAACTATGTAGCCTACAATTTCAATTTGTTTATTGTGAAATAACTCCAGTTTTTTCTGTCCTGTGCTAAGCATTGTTCTGGGCTGCCGTTCCCAAAAACATCAATGCTTTCTTCTGAAGCGCAGCCCTGTTTGAATGCACGGTCTCTCTGTGATTGTTTGGTTCTGTCTTGCAGCATTTGCGTCTGTCGTACAGTTATTCGCTAATGTAGGTTATTCGTCCAATCCAATGCATATTGTACACATCACGATACAAACAAAGATACTACACACTTTGCACGAACAGTCGTTTTTGATTTGAATTCGATTGTATAATTTCAGGATTTAAAGCAAAAACTTTTTCTACTTTTTCTTAATCACTGTCCCAGTAGCTCTTGAAAATAACAGAAAAATACAATACAATGTAATGCATCTTTGTACTTATTTTACTGTTACTTTCAGGATCTACTGGGACAGTGATAAAGATCTACCAGTCGATCGCGATTGAAGGGTTGGTGACCACTGCTTTAGATACTCGCATCAGGATCGATATTTCAGGATGGATACACCCATGTGTGTGTTTGTGCAGACGGTTCCTGACGCGGGTCTGTTTCAGGATCCGGACGGAGAGCATGCGCGGCGCGTTTGCTCAAACTATCATCATGGCATTAGAACTAATGCACCGCTGTCGCTTGCGAAAACACAATAACGGTGCCGTGGGTGTAAACTCACAGATTAAGAGGTGGTGATATTATAATGAGATCTTTGTCACGTCACTAAGGGAGCGAAATCAGACTCGCTCGTTTTCTCTGACGCTTGCAGAAAAACGCTTCCCAAAACAAAGTTACTGGGTTAATCTTTGGTTGGTAGATGCACCGGGGACCTGATTATAGCACTTAACACCTGGAAAATCAGATTTTCATGATATGTCACCTTTAAGGCATTGTTGTTCCATTGTTTTGGAACGATCTGAAATGTTATGTATGTGAGGCATTCTGTAATTAAATATGCACTCGTTTCTGGTTCTTAATGTGTCACTAGTTAGTGTGTACTGCCCGTGTAGACGGTATGTTTTGTAATGTCTTCCTTCACTCGCGCTCACAGCCATGTTCAACGGTCAGATGCTGTTTGACAGACAGATGCATGTGAAAATGGTGAGCCGCTGCAGCGTTTGTTCTCATGCAGTTTGAGCGTTAATGAGGCTCAGCATTCATTCTTGTGTTTGTGTCATGTTTACTGTAGGATGATAAATCACTTCCTCCAGATGACTTCAGGCCTGCGGAGAAACCGCCACAGTTACCCCGTAAGAGCTTTGTGTGCTTGTTTGGGATGAGTGTGTGTGTATATATATATATAATGCTGTATGTAAATGTGTGTTTATGGTGTGTGCTGCAGGAGGTCTGGGAGGCGTCGGGATGGGTTTGGGTCCCGGTGGTCAGCCAATAAATGCCAACCGTCTCAGTGGAGGAGGCGTCGGCTCCATGGGACCTGGAGGTGCATTCATGTTTGCTTTACTTATTCATGCAAATATTGTATTTCATGCTTTATTTTTTTTTAAGCATGCAGTGTTATATTTGCATGAATAAAGCATTATTTATTTGCATGCAAAATAAAGCATTATTTGTTTTGTAGTGATGCATTAGAACTGCAAACATGCATTAAAAGTGTTAAAAAACTACAAACATGGCGGATATACGCGACCAACGTACAGGTAGATAAACGGATTTGAGTGATAAATAATCAATTTGCTAACCTGATGGAAAAATATAAATTTAGCCTAATGTTATCCACGTTATATTTCATCTGCAGAAACACTGAACTTTTATAATGATACGTTTGGTCATTAACTTTTAAATGCATCATGCAAACACATAAGCAGAGCTCTCGGCATGATAGACCCGCGACTAGCAGATCAACGTGCCTCTTCATTTCTCTCCAATATGGTAGGAAATCAAATTAAACGAAATGTGGATGATGTTAACTGTGATGAGATGATTGACAGGGCAGTTTAAACAGTGACTGAATGCACGTAACTAAGCAACAGAACGTCCGTTGAAGAAGCAGCAGATATGACGAAATAGTATGTCCCAAAGTTTGCCTACTATTCTTCTACATACTCAAAAGTATGTACTTTTTCTTCACAAAAAGAGTACATACTTTGAGGTCATAGTATAAGTAGGCGAACTGGGACGCAGCAAATGTAGCTCCTCAGAAACAATTGTGGTTGCAACAAAGTGGTGCTGCAGCGTTTGTTCTCATGCAGTTTGAGCGTTAATGAGGCTCAGCATTCATTCTTGTGTTTGTGTCATGTTTACTGTAGGATGATAAATCACTTCCTCCAGATGACTTCAGGCCTGCGGAGAAACCGCCACAGTTACCCCGTAAGAGCTTTGTGTGCTTGTTTGGGATGAGTGTGTGTGTGTATATATATATATAATGCTGTATGTAAATGTGTGTTTATGGTGTGTGCTGCAGGAGGTCTGGGAGGCGTCGGGATGGGTTTGGGTCCCGGTGGTCAGCCAATAAATGCCAACCGTCTCAGTGGAGGAGGCGTCGGCTCCATGGGACCTGGAGGTGCATTCATGTTTGCTTTACTTATTCATGCAAATATTGTATTTCATGCTTTATTTTTTTTTAAGCATGCAGTGTTATATTTGCATGAATAAAGCATTATTTATTTGCATGCAAAATAAAGCATTATTTGTTTTGTAGTGATGCATTAGAACTGCAAACATGCATTAAAAGTGTTAAAAAACTACAAACATGGCGGATATACGCGACCAACGTACAGGTAGATAAACGGATTTGAGTGATAAATAATCAATTTGCTAACCTGATGGAAAAATATAAATTTAGCCTAATGTTATCCACGTTATATTTCATCTGCAGAAACACTGAACTTTTATAATGATACGTTTGGTCATTAACTTTTAAATGCATCATGCAAACACATAAGCAGAGCTCTCGGCATGATAGACCCGCGACTAGCAGATCAACGTGCCTCTTCATTTCTCTCCAATATGGTAGGAAATCAAATTAAACGAAATGTGGATGATGTTAACTGTGATGAGATGATTGACAGGGCAGTTTAAACAGTGACTGAATGCACGTAACTAAGCAACAGAACGTCCGTTGAAGAAGCAGCAGATATGACGAAATAGTATGTCCCAAAGTTTGCCTACTATTCTTCTACATACTCAAAAGTATGTACTTTTTCTTCACAAAAAGAGTACATACTTTGAGGTCATAGTATAAGTAGGCGAACTGGGACGCAGCAAATGTAGCTCCTCAGAAACAATTGTGGTTGCAACAAAGTGGTTGCCGAGCAACACACAAACGTAAACAAAGGTGTGTGTTACTTTGTAGCGTCATTTACAACAGCTTCGATTGCGGCTCAGCCAATCAGAATCAAGCACCGGAACTCTCCGCTTTATAACAAGTGTTTTTAATTGATAGATTTAAATAGGCATTTCAAATTGATTCAGTAAATGGTGGTAGTCTGCTCGATTCATCAACTCGAATGAATCAAATTGACTGATGCAGCGTTTTTGCCACTTGAGCTTTAATCAGATGTTTGCATTTGATGCTATTAGAAAGTCTCTGAATGCTGATGAAGATCACGAAACGTAATGTGATTTTTAATGATCAAATAAAAAGAGCTTAACACCATGATGTGTGCTCATGTGCATTTATCACCAGTAAGATTGCTGTGAATCTTGAGTGTATCGAACTCTTGCTGGGATTGATGAGTTAACGCGGGTTTGGTTGTTTCTCAGGGATGGACGGGCCGGGATGCAGCAACATGAACCGCATGAGTGGTGAGAGTCACGTTCATCTGGAGCAGATCCATCAGAGATCATGTGAGGACGCTCATCTGTGTGTGTGTGTGTGTGTGTGTGTGTAGGGATAGGCGGAGGCTTCTCCGGAATGGACTGCATGGGTGGAATGGGAGGATTCGGTGGCAGAGACATGGGCCGAATGGGAGGTAGACATCAATCCTTCTTTCAGTCTGTCTGTCTAACAGACATTAATCTAATCAGATGTATTTCTGTTGGGTCGTTCTGTCTCAAACCAACCGCATTTCAGAAACCTCCCTGGCTCAGTTTTTTCTAAAGAAAGACAAACCTAAAGAGTGATGAAAGCCAAAATATGAAATGTCATGGGTGTATATTTACGGAGTAATCCAGTATTTTGTAGAGGAGGGTTTGATATGACAATTTTACCTGAGATTTGGAAACAAGTTACAAGAGGGTAAAAATGACTTCAGAAAGATGGCAGCATCGTTGTGTTATTGGCAGCTCTGTTAGTAAAATCTGCTGACTTCAGCAATCTTACCTGCCGTATATGTTAGTTCTTAACATGCTTTTCTTCTGGTATCATCTTTTTTAAGGCTCTATATCGCACATTTCCAGAGATATGGCCATTTCAATATGGCTCCAGGAGTAAATTGTGCTCATTTTCAGTGAACCAAATGTGGGTCACTTTGCATTTAGCAGAAAGCTTTTTCTTTTGAAGAGAAATGTTTGAAGAACAAATAAGGCTGAAACTAAAAATATATCTTGTTTCCCTCAATCAAAACAATTGCATAGAGTGACAAAATACTCTTTCTCATGAAGTATTAAAGGTATCTTGATATAATTGTAGATTCTGGTTGTCAACTAAAGTTTAATTTCATATGTTCATTTGTAAGGCCTTATATGGTTTAGTCCCAGAGATATGGGGATCTCAGTGTTGTAGGAAATCAAATTAAACGAAATGTGGATGATGTTAACTGTGATGAGATGATTGACAGGGCAGTTTAAACAGTGACTGAATGCACGTAACTAAGCAACAGAACGTCCGTTGAAGAAGCAGCAGATATGACGAAATAGTATGTCCCAAAGTTTGCCTACTATTCTTCTACATACTCAAAAGTATGTACTTTTTCTTCACAAAAAGAGTACATACTTTGAGGTCATAGTATAAGTAGGCGAACTGGGACGCAGCAAATGTAGCTCCTCAGAAACAATTGTGGTTGCAACAAAGTGGTTGCCGAGCAACACACAAACGTAAACAAAGGTGTGTGTTACTTTGTAGCGTCATTTACAACAGCTTCGATCGCGGCTCAGCCAATCAGAATCCAGCACCGGAACTCTCCGCTTTATAACAAGTGTTTTTAATTGATAGATTTAAATAGGCATTTCAAATTGATTCAGTAAATGGTGGTAGTCTGCTCGATTCATCAACTCGAATGAATCAAATTGACTGATGCAGCGTTTTTGCCACTTGAGCTTTAATCAGATGTTTACATTTGATGCTATTAGAAAGTCTCTGAATGCTGATGAAGATCACGAAACGTAATGTGATTTTTAATGATCAAATAAAAAGAGCTTAACACCATGATGTGTGCTCATGTGCATTTATCACCAGTAAGATTGCTGTGAATCTTGAGTGTATCGAACTCTTGCTGGGATTGATGAGTTAACGCGGGTTTGGTTGTTTCTCAGGGATGGACGGGCCGGGATGCAGCAACATGAACCGCATGAGTGGTGAGAGTCACGTTCATCTGGAGCAGATCCATCAGAGATCATGTGAGGACGCTCATCTGTGTGTGTGTGTGTGTGTGTGTGTGTAGGGATAGGCGGAGGCTTCTCCGGAATGGACTGCATGGGTGGAATGGGAGGATTCGGTGGCAGAGACATGGGCCGAATGGGAGGTAGACATCAATCCTTCTTTCAGTCTGTCTGTCTAACAGACATTAATCTAATCAGATGTATTTCTGTTGGGTCGTTCTGTCTCAAACCAACCGCATTTCAGAAACCTCCCTGGCTCAGTTTTTTCTAAAGAAAGACAAACCTAAAGAGTGATGAAAGCCAAAATATGAAATGTCATGGGTGTATATTTACGGAGTAATCCAGTATTTTGTAGAGGAGGGTTTGATATGACAATTTTACCTGAGATTTGGAAACAAGTTACAAGAGGGTAAAAATGACTTCAGAAAGATGGCAGCATCGTTGTGTTATTGGCAGCTCTGTTAGTAAAATCTGCTGACTTCAGCAATCTTACCTGCCGTATATGTTAGTTCTTAACATGCTTTTCTTCTGGTATCATCTTTTTTAAGGCTCTATATCGCACATTTCCAGAGATATGGCCATTTCAATATGGCTCCAGGAGTAAATTGTGCTCATTTTCAGTGAACCAAATGTGGGTCACTTTGCATTTAGCAGAAAGCTTTTTCTTTTGAAGAGAAATGTTTGAAGAACAAATAAGGCTGAAACTAAAAATATATCTTGTTTCCCTCAATCAAAACAATTGCATAGAGTGACAAAATACTCTTTCTCATGAAGTATTAAAGGTATCTTGATATAATTGTAGATTCTGGTTGTCAACTAAAGTTTACAACCAAATGTGGGTCACTTTGCATTTAGCAGAAAGCTTTTTCTTTTGAAGAGAAATGTTTGAAGAACAAATAAGGCTGAAACTAAAAATATATCTTGTTTCCCTCAATCAAAACAATTGCATAGAGTGACAAAATACTCTTTCTCATGAAGTATTAAAGGTATCTTGATATAATTGTAGATTCTGGTTGTCAACTAAAGTTTAATTTCATATGTTCATTTGTAAGGCCTTATATGGTTTAGTCCCAGAGATATGGGGATCTCAGTGTTGCTCCATGGGCAACTCTTCAATGGTCAAAAGCCGAATATCAAACCACAGTTTTTAGCCAGGCACCTCTGGTTGAGTCGACACAGAATTACCATATAGTGCTTTATACAATACAGATTGTTTCAAAGCAGCTTCATAGACATAAATATAACAGAATACTATATTTCAGTATCAGTCTATAATTCAGATCAGTTCAGTGTTCACTGATGTTTGTGCAGATGTGTATCGCTCTGGAATGGGAGGAATGGACAGAGACTTCGGCAGAAGGGACATGGAGATGAACCGCCCGTTCGGAGACTCGTGTGGGGGTAGGTGTGTGTGTGTGGTGTGTGTGTGAGAGAGAGTGTGTGTGTGTGTGTGAGAGAGAGAGAGAGAGAGAGAGAGTGTGTGTGTGAGAGAGAGAGAGAGAGAGAGAGAGAGGCTGTGAATCTTGAGTGTATCGAACTCTTGCTGGGATTGATGAGTTAACGCGGGTTTGGTTGTTTCTCAGGGATGGACGGGCCGGGATGCAGCAACATGAACCGCATGAGTGGTGAGAGTCACGTTCATCTGGAGCAGATCCATCAGAGATCATGTGAGGACGCTCATCTGTGTGTGTGTGTGTGTGTGTGTGTGTAGGGATAGGCGGAGGCTTCTCCGGAATGGACTGCATGGGTGGAATGGGAGGATTCGGTGGCAGCGACATGGGCCGAATGGGAGGTAGACATCAATCCTTCTTTCAGTCTGTCTGTCTAACAGACATTAATCTAATCAGATGTATTTCTGTTGGGTCGTTCTGTCTCAAACCAACCGCATTTCAGAAACCTCCCTGGCTCAGTTTTTTCTAAAGAAAGACAAACCTAAAGAGTGATGAAAGCCAAAATATGAAATGTCATGGGTGTATATTTACGGAGTAATCCAGTATTTTGTAGAGGAGGGTTTGATATGACAATTTTACCTGAGATTTGGAAACAAGTTACAAGAGGGTAAAAATGACTTCAGAAAGATGGCAGCATCGTTGTGTTATTGGCAGCTCTGTTAGTAAAATCTGCTGACTTCAGCAATCTTACCTGCCGTATATGTTAGTTCTTAACATGCTTTTCTTCTGGTATCATCTTTTTTAAGGCTCTATATCGCACATTTCCAGAGATATGGCCATTTCAATATGGCTCCAGGAGTAAATTGTGCTCATTTTCAGTGAACCAAATGTGGGTCACTTTGCATTTAGCAGAAAGCTTTTTCTTTTGAAGAGAAATGTTTGAAGAACAAATAAGGCTGAAACTAAAAATATATCTTGTTTCCCTCAATCAAAACAATTGCATAGAGTGACAAAATACTCTTTCTCATGAAGTATTAAAGGTATCTTGATATAATTGTAGATTCTGGTTGTCAACTAAAGTTTACTTTCATATGTTCATTTGTAAGGCCTTATATGGTTTAGTCCCAGAGATATGGGGATCTCAGTGTTGCTCCATGGGCAACTCTTCAATGGTCAAAAGCCGAATATCAAACCACAGTTTTTAGCCAGGCACCTCTGGTTGAGTCGACACAGAATTACCATATAGTGCTTTATACAATACAGATTGTTTCAAAGCAGCTTCATAGACATAAATATAACAGAATACTATATTTCAGTATCAGTCTATAATTCAGATCAGTTCAGTGTTCACTGATGTTTGTGCAGATGTGTATCGCTCTGGAATGGGAGGAATGGACAGAGACTTCGGCAGAAGGGACATGGAGATGAACCGCCCGTTCGGAGACTCGTTTGGAGGTAGGTGTGTGTGTGTGAGAGAAAAAGAGAGAGAGAGAGAGTGTGTGTGTGTGTGTGTGTGTGTGTGTGTGTGTGTGTGTGTGTGTGTGTGTGAGAG